TGGTCACAAGCCATCAGCCAGTCATTTCTGTGTATTTGGCTGTCCTTGCACCCTTCTTCACTTAGATACCAACCCAAAGTTTAATTCCAAGGCCGATGACTGCTATTTTGTAGGGTATGCTGCTCGTACTGCCTATAGATTCTACAATAAGAAAACAATACAGATTGTGGAATCTTATGACGTGCGTTGGTTGGAAGAAAATGAGACAGACGCTAGAGTGGGTCCGAATTGGTTATTTGATTACACATCCCTTTTTAAATCCTTAAATGTGTCTTCAAGTGATGTATCTAGACCTGTTTCTTATTGGAAGGGTATTTCTGAAGACGAAGATGGAGAAGTTATGTACAAGCCTCTATCTACATCCTCTTCTTCATCGAAGGGGAAGTCCAAAGTTACACTTGAGGGGGAATCCTCTGGTTCACATAAGGGAGGGTCCTCTGCTACAGATGATGGGGGGTCCTCTGCAACACTTGAGGGGGAGTCCTCTTGTTTACATAAGGGAAGGTCCTTTGCTACACCTTAGGGGGTGTCCGCCGCTACACCTGAGGGGTAGTCTTCTGCAACATCTAAGGGGGAGTCCTCTGCTACACCTCAAGGGGAGTCGTCTATGCAACATGATAGTCCTCAATCTTCAGTCCAAACTGATTCTCCAGATGCTGAAACTACACCTCATATGTCAATAAAGAAAGAGTTATTCTCTATTGATGCTTCCGCTGTCTCTTCAACTTTTATGGAACTACTCTTTCCTGAACTTATCTCAGATGAGTTTGTAGCAAATCCGTCTGGAGCGGCTCAACCAACAAATGAAGGAGGTATCAATATTCACACTCTTACTGTGTCTTTCAATGACATCAGCCAAGAAATACCTTCAAGGATTCAACGCGATCATCCGATCGATAACGTCATTGGTCAGTTAGGTGATGGTGTTAAAACAAGAAGTCGGAGTGGGGACGTTAATGCTTGTCTTTATTCTTGATTTATTTCTCAAATAGAGCCCAAGAATTTTGAAATGGCTCTAAATGAACCTAGATGGGTAGATGCAATGCATGAAGAATTGCACCAATTTGAAACACTTGGTGTTTAGAAGTTAGTTGAGTTGCCAAAGGGCAAGAAGTCTCTTGACACACGATGGGTTTATCGCAATAAGCATGATGATTCAAGGGTTATTGTGCGAAATAAAGCTCGATTGGTGGTTTGTGGGTTTCGAAAAGTGGACGGTCTTGATTATACTGAAGTTTATGCTCCAGTAGCTCGCCTGGAGGCTATTCGTATCTTCCTAGCATATGCTTCTTACATAAACTTTACCGTTTTCCATATGGACGTCAAGACCGCCTTCTTGTATGGCAAGGTGAAGGAAGAAATCTACATTTATCAACCCCCTGGGTTTGTTGATTCGAAGTTTCCAAATCATGTCTATAAGTTGGATAAGGCATTGTATGGGTTACATCAAGCTCCTAGAGCGTGGTATGCAACCCTAACAAAGCACTTGCTCGAACATGGTTACTCTCATGGCACTATCGATCAGACCTTGTTTATCAAGCACTTCGAAAAGGACCAGATACTCGTAGAAATCTATGTCGACGACATTGTCTTTGGGTCAACCAGTCCGCAGCTTTGCAAAGAATTCGAAGGTGTAATGAAGAAACGGTTCGAAATGAGATCATTGAGGCTTCAGGTTAAACAGAATTCAACCGGAATCCTGCTACATCAAGCCAAATAGATGGAGGATATTCTTCAGAAGTTCGAGTTTCACGATGCTAAATTTGCTTCTACATCGATGGTTGAACGACCTCTTCTGACTCCAGATCCTGAAGGTCAATCCGTAGATCAGACTCACTATCAATCGATGACCGGATCGCTGATGTATCTTACTGCAAGCCGACCTGACATCATGTTTGCATTTTGTCAATGCGCACGCTATCAGGTTAATCCTAAACTTTCACATCTTATTGTTGTCAAAAGAATTTTTCGGTATATCAAAGGGAGCCCAAAATTGGGTCTTTGGTATCCGAAGAATTCTGAATTTGATCTTTATGCTTTTACTGACAGTAATTATGGATACTGTGAGCTTGACAGGAAATCAACCTCAGGAGGATGTCAGTACCTAGGTGACAGACTACTTTCGTGGCAATGCAAGAAGCAACACACTGTCTCAACTTCCACAACAGAGGTGGAATATGTTGCTTCATCACCTTGCTGCTCTCAAGTTATCTGGATCCAACATCAGCTGTTGGACTACGGTTTGAATTATTTTGAAACCCACATTTATTGTGATAACGAAGCTGCCATTCAAATTGCCAAAAACCCAAGCACATCGACATTAAAATTCAATTTATCAGAGACTGTTCTGAACAATCGCTAATCCGGCTGGAACAGGTCCACACTGATAATAATGTGGCGGACCTATTCACAAAACCATTTATCAAAGCTCGCTTCGATGTGCTTGTAGGATTTCTGAAAATGATATGTTTTGAGGATTAACTTTTTTTTATTTTTATTTTTTTCCTCAACTCAATTTTCAATTTTATTTTTTTAATTTTATTTTTCATTTTTCATTTTATTTTTAATTTCCTTTTGTTTCTTGTTTCCTTAGGATAAATTAAATTTGCGCATTTTGTTTTCTTTTATTTTACTTTTTGTTCTCACCGATGCACAAATTTAGCAGGAGAAATAATCAAAAATCCAAAAACAATAGAAAATAAAAATAGAAATCCAAAAACAATAAATAACCAGAAAACATAAACAAAAAAAATTATTGCTGACAGTTTCGTTTGTAGGTGTTGTGATGGGAAATGAAATTAGCAAGTGATAACGGGCAATTTGTATCGACGTAATGTACCTAAGTTGAATCGTCTCCGCTCTGTGCTCGATACGCTGGTAGACACGAAAGATTTTAAATGGGCTTGATTAGGGAAAGTTGAAGTTAATGAATTTAAGGACTTGACAAACTTTGACCTAGTTAGATCCGTTTAACCTGATTTCACGACGCTCGGATAGGTTGAGCAGGGAGACATACATGAGAATCTACCGGTCACATTAAATAACTCGTATTTAGAACTGTGGATTCATTTTTCCTCGATGTACGGATTCTGTCCTTAATCCCGGTTGGATGGGGCGACTGGTAATTCGGATAAATTAGGTCTGTAGAAAATTGTTTTTTTTCTTTCTGTCTGTTAGTCATATGTTGCCTCCTCTGCGTGATTGGGAGATCAGACCTGGACTGTAACATATGCAACTCTATCTCTCTGCAAGTTATATATATATATATATATATATATATATATATATATATATATATATATATATATATATATATATATATATATGAAATTCTTATTATCTGTTAGCGATATGATGTCTCCTTTGTGTGACTTCCAATCCGACCTGGTACACAGAGTATATGCAACCTTCTACTTCTCAATCCCTTTAAAATAATAAGTTATAGAATTCTGAATCTATCTTCTCTCTAAATGATTGTCTGCTCACCCGGTGTAAGGAGTACTCTAGAAGTTCTTGATGACTGGGGCATCCCAGGAAGTGGGAAACACGTTCTAGTACACTTAAAATGGAACACATACAGATTGTTTGTAGATCTCGCTGCTCGATTTAGCTGGACAACAATATCTCTGGTTGTAGTCACTTAAATGGTCATAAGGTAAATTTATTTAAGATTTAGGACCAATCATGATAATAAAAGTTATAATTAGATATATGCGTGAATCATGTCATTGGTAAAATTGTCCAAAAACTGTCACAAATTTTTCGTGTTTAAGTGGACTACAATACTAGTGATCGATCAGACGAAGATGTGAAGATAAGGGCACCGACATGTAGAATAAGACTGTCCAAAAACTTTGATCCCTGAATCACAAATTTAGTTACAATAGTTAATTTTTTGTGATTTTATTTTAGTTGAAGTTAAATTATTTATTTTTAATTTTAATTAATTTTAATTTTTTAATTTTATTTTTAGCAATTAAATTTTTTTAAGTTGTTTTATTTTTTTTAATTTTAATTTTACTTTTATTTTTGTACAAAATTAAGTTTTTCGTTATTTATTATTATTTTTAATTTTTTCCTTAGTTAAACTAATCCTCAGAAAGTTTTATTTAAATTTAATTGTGCTGGAATTTGCTAAATATTGGGTAGTTATTAGGTAAATGGTAAAGAAAGGTAAATATAGGGGTTTACTGCCAGAATCTCCTCATTCATGAGATTCCGGTAACAAACACTCTCGTCACTCTCTCTCCCTTCAAAAAAAAAATTCGTCAAATTTCGCAAATCTGATTCAACAATCTCGTAGGTAATGAGTTCTAGATCATAAATATATATTTTATTGCGTGTTTCACCGTGTAATTTGAGCTAAAATCGAAGAAAAAGGTCTGACGGAGCTTACGGCCGTAAGCTTGGGCCATAAACTCCGTTCTAAGGCCGTAAATGCAATTTAACTGTAAATAAATTACGACCGCAAGCATCTATTGATTATTGTGTTGTTTTAGACCATATTATCTTGATTAAATTTTTGTTTTTCATGTGTTGTGCAAATTCGATGTTCATCGAACATTGAAACCAAGTGGGTCAGCATCTAGAATGGCCCCACAAAGTTCTCGATCATCAGCTGCTCTTTTTGGGAGGGTGACTTCTGTAATGGTTAACTATTTTGGAATTTGATTCAACATATATATAATACATATACTAAAATTAAAATTTGATTTTCTGGTTAGAGTTTCTGTGGGACCCCTCAAGGAATCGAACTTCCTTCGTTTTTGGATGGTGATTTGAGTAGTGGAGTTGAAGGTGGTTATACCAAAGTGGAAGTCAAGTATCCAACTTTTCTTTTTAAGCAACGGTTAACAACATATGTTGAAAAGATATATGGAACATTTTGAGATAATTTGAAAAAAGAAATATCCCTGTTACTCAGGATGTGTATTCAGGTAGCTAACGACTTTAACATTTTTACTTAATCTATTCATGTTAAGTAATTAGCAGTGGACTAAATGGTCATTTCACAATTCACACTGAAGTCACCGACAATTTCGAGAGCCAGCCTAGCGAAAGGATCATCGTGTACGGTTTCTAGTTCAGCTCAACAGACACTGATTGCTCATTGGCAAGGAATTATGAAGAGTCTTGGAAGTTTCTTGAATGTTCTAAAAACAAATAATGTTAGTGTGATTTTTGTTTTTGTTTTTCTATTTCTAACCTTTTTTGTGAAATGCTTTTAGGTTCCACCGGTTTTGGTGCCTAAAGTTTTCTCACCAATATTCTCGTTTGTGAATGTTCAGCTATGTAACAGGTATATATTTAGTTTTTGTAGAGTGTATTCTTTTTTGATGTGAATTTATGATTCTAGGCCTTCGGGCTTTTTTTATTTTTTTTATAAAATGCAGTCTATTTTGGGACGTGAGTGCTATTCGTTTAGCAATGGTGAGTATGTGAGAGCGGGATTGGCTGAACTAGACCACTGGTGTTTTAACGCAGCTGATGAGGTAATTCTGGAGTGATATATTCTTTCACTAGAATGGAATTAAGGATTCCATTCCATCCTCGATTCCATCATGCCAAACACTATTTTGTATTCTTATTTGCTAAACAAAAGGACTGAGGTATTCAGGTTCTGCTTGGGATGAAGTAGACCACTGGCTGAAGTAGACCACTAGTTGAACTTGAAGCTGCATACAGTCAGCTTAGTGATCTGTTGATCTTCATTAGTGTCTTTTCACCAATCTTGTCCCAAAATTTTGTGTTGATTTGTATAATATGTGAATTCAATGTATAGTTTTAACTCTACTTCTAATTAGTATTTTTGTATAATTTTAGAAAACGGAAGTAGCCTTATCAAGTTTCTAGTGGTTGCAGGGGCTACCCTTTGACAAAAATAAAGCAAGACAACTTGGGATTTTAGTGAAATCAGACGAAGTCTATGCCTATCAAGTTTTTTGGATAAAACCCATTCATCCGTATGGGAGTATTTGGAGATATAGCCTAGTGGTGACGCTTGGGACTTTATCAAAACGATGGATTGTCCCAGGTTGGTGCTTTGGTTGGATAGCAATAACCGATCCTACTGGCATTCTTCACAAAACTGGGGTTTTCTCTCTTCCTTTTTTCTTTCTTGCCTGTTTCTTGAAAATTTATCATATTTTTTGTAGACATCTAGAGCACATATCAAGTTTTCCTTTTGTGGTACATTTATGATCGTGTTAGATTTCTAGTTCCATAAAGAGTTGTCTTGAGTTAACAGCGGACCCACCCACTGTAATTCAGGTATAAGATTCAACAGTCTTCGATCTTAATTTAGGGCAGCCACGGCATCTATTATGGTCTGTGTTGACCCACCCGATATGGCCTCCTTCAGCAACCCAAGCTTCTCCTCCACCTTCTCTTTCACTGTAGCAAGAACCTTCACTCCCAATTCTTTTAGCTGTTTCTCTGTCTGGTAAACCACTGAATCAGCTTGGTTCTTTGTGTCTATGGCTTCTCTTTTTTCCTTGTCTTCTTTCTCAAACTTCTCAACTTCATTCACCATTCTTCTTACCTATTTCATCAAATTATATAATATATTTAGCCAAGAAAACAAATATAAGTGAAAAAGAAACAGAGCCTACATTACAATTTACAATAATATTAAATACCTCATCATCAAGAGTGTGCTAGCACCAGTAATGGTGATATATTGCTTATTTCTTGTACCCTTTTCAATGATAGTGACAGACAAAATACCATTTGCATCAATGTCAAATTTGACTTCAATTTGTGGGACCCCACGTGGAGCACGAGGAATTCCATCCAACCAGAAGCTTCCAAGAGACTTGTTGTCTCTAACGAATTCTCTCTCGCCTTGAAGAACAATGATTTCAAATGGAAGCCTTCCAGGTCTGGTCTTTTAACATTTTTGGTCGAAGGGCAATTTTTTCATTTTTCTTAATGGATGAATAAAGTATGATGCAAAAAGATGAATAAAAACTAATTAATCAAAAGGCCTATAGAGTTGCTGGTTCACTCTGCTTAGCCACTAGAGTTGGTGAGGATATGATCGTTAACAGGTTAGTCAAGTAATAATAATGATTAACGAGTTTGGTATTGACTACTTTTTTAAACCTCAAGGGATGGAAGTGAAATATTCTGATTTAACTTTTATTTTTTGGAAATTGTGAAGTATGAAAGAGTATGAAGAGAGGGCACTGTATCTTGCTTTAAAACGGTTGAAACTTGATGAGTTGAAGGAACTCAATTCCATTCATTTTTTTATTTTTAAAAGACAATTTAATTAAATAGATGAAATTCTTGAAATCTAATGTTTGAAGGATTTTACCATATATTCCTAGTGAAGGGTGGATGAAATTCAATTCCATTCATTTTTTTTATGAAAGACCAAAATACCCTTATTTCTATATAATAAAAGACAAATCACCCTGCATCATATATGATAAAAAACCAAAATACTTTAGTGAATCTATACTCTGATATAAAAATTTTGAATTACTTAATTTTTATTTTTGAACTTCATTTTATTATGATTTGATTCCTTTGAATAATAACAACCAAACTGTGAACCTTAGAATAATAACAACCAAACTGTACATTACAGGAAGAATTGTTGAGGGATCAGGCAAGACAACACTTGCTTTGAATGTAATCAAGGAAGCTCAAAAGCTTGGAGGTGCGTTCCAATGTTCTTTAATTCCACATATAAACAATGTTGATGTTTCACATTTTATGATGATTAAAAGTTATTTTTGGTAGGTTTTCGGTAGTCTTTGTTGATTTTTAACTAAAATATATTACAAATAATTTCGAGCAGTTCAGGTGGTAATCTAGAGTGACTCTACTCATTATCTTTCATATGCTCTCATACCTTCTCATCCTTCAGGTGGATTTTTTTTTTCAGCCATGTATTTTGATTTAAGGGTTTATGTCACATTAGATATTTTACCAATTTAGTTTTTATGTAGGGAGTAGAAAACGGGGAACTTTTCTCCTTCAAAATTACCCATGGTAAGTTTTTTATTACTTTTAATCAATATTTTATGCCCATAAAGTCAACATATTGACCACACTTGTTGTATCTGAATCAGGTTCTAGCTGAAGAAGCATCTGAAGGACTTTTTGTTTTTGATAAACTAAAATTAGCTCATTGCTAAATAATCTTCACTTTCCTCTTATTTAATCGGTGCTTATTATAACTTTATAAGTTGCTTGTATATGACGATCTCATATTTTGGTAATATTTACAATTGTGTATTATTAATTAGTTGATATTGATATTGTATAATTAACATGATTGTTGTGTAGGATTTTTGTGTTGTTCTTGATCAAGAGTTAGGATTGTTATTGAAGCTAAGAGACAATATGATTGGTTGGATACATAAAGGGTTTTAGAGCTTCTTCAGACAACTTAATGACGAGTTACTGAAACAAGAAGGTGCCCCTTTATAGCAATGTAGTATTAGATTATATAGTTAGGGAAAACCTCTTAATAACAGTGTACAATAAGATCCCTTTATTATCAATGTATTACAATTTTTTGAGTTGATGTTATTGGATGAAATTGATTGTTTTGGTATATATTTGTTTACATATTTTTGTATTATGCCTAAATGAGTATCGTAAAGACGCGTCGTAAATGCATATCAAATGTGGTTACTGAAGTTTATGACATGTAAATGTGTGTCATCTTCATTTATGACAGGGGCTTCTTTGATACGCATTGTGTGTCATAAACATGCATGTCGTAAGGTTAAGAAACACAAATGCATGTCGTCTTTGTATATGACAGGGCCTTCCTTGATACGCATTGTGTGTCATAATTGTGCGTCGTAAATAGACGATGCGTAAAAGCGTGTCGTCTATTGTTATGACAGGGCCTTCCTTGACACGCATTTGCGTGTCGTCTGATCGTTTTACGACACGCATTGCGCGTCGTAAAAGGCTGTTTTTCTAGTAGTGATCGGAGAGGAAAAGTTGTGTTTGAAGGATTGTACCCTCTTGAGAAATTTTGGAAGTTCACTGAGCTGGATGAACCAACAGAATCCTATGGTTCTTCTGAGCCAACATCTACTGAAAAGTCATCTGCAAACAATCTTGTTATTGATATTTCTGAGGATGAAAGCACTGAAAAAGAAGATACCCCCACTCCTGATGCTCAAGTGGCTGTGGAACATGACAAGGTGTTTGATCGTACTCAAGATGATGATTTCGGAATGAATGTCGATTTTAGAGAGAATATTAGGGGAGATAAGAATGATTCTTTTAGTGACCTTGACCTCACCTGTTTTGATCACTATGATATTGCTGCTTCTTTGGAAAGTAGTGCTAACGTGGTGTCACATGAGAATCTTGACACGATTTTCAACAATGTTGATGATGTTGTTCCTCCGACAACTGAGACAAGGGAGGCAAATGATGTTTTTGAGACTACGACCCCTAATTCAGGTCAAATGGAAAATGTTTCAATTCCAATGGAGAGGGTTATGGGATGTTCCCCTCCTGTATCTGTTTCTCCTACCATAGAGCCATTTATGAGTGTTTTCACAACACAATCTGACCAACACCCATCAAAAAGACTGAGAAGAGATTTGAGGCAAACTGAGCTAACAGCAAGTCTTGTTAGCGGCCTCCCAACACCACCTACTACTACTGCTAATACCAGTCTCACCACAATAAAGATGTTTGCAACGGGTTCGAGTGCTGCTTTTGATGTTGGTTGTCCCTCTATTCCACCTAGTTTTACTACTCCTAGATTTAATCGTGATGATGCTTCTGAGAGATTAGCTCTACAAATGGCTGAGGAGCAACTTTTAACGCCTAATCCTCGAGGAAAGGGTGTTTCTATAGGAGGTGGTGGTTCTAGAGGACATAACCTAACTCTTTCTGGACTCCAAAAAGAAATATTAATTCTGAGTCAAAAGAATATTGAGCTAGACATCCAAGTGTCATAGCTTCGAGCTGAAAATGCAAAGCACATCATTCAAGTGTCTGAACTTCAGTCTGATAATTCAAATCTTGGTGTGCAAGTAGCCGATCTTATGCATGATAAAGAACTGAAGTCCAAACAGATTTCTGGCCTACAAGATCACTTCAATCTGCTGACTTCAAGTTATTTTGCATTGAAAAAGAAGCTTGAGGAAGACTTTGGAGACAAATACCAGACATCCGCTGAAGAACACAAGATTAATCTTCATGTCCAACCCTTTCCAGTTGATTTTCCTACTGGTCAATCACCTGGAGTTTTAGTCATGCTTATAATAAGCCTCCTCAGGCCCCCATGTGTCAGCAACCATTCGTAAAGCTTAGGAGGAAGCGGTGAAGAAAGGGAAAATACTTTTTAAGAGGAACCCTAATCAAAATGCCTCTTGGGATGAACCCTTAATTACCATGAATGATCTTGAAATGGTTCGTTTCAGAGATACTTTTGGTGATCGGTCAGGAATTGCTTCTTGGGGATTTCATGATCCCCTCAAGATGTGGATAGTGTTGCGAAAGAGTGGCAACTCTGAACTATACAGAGATAGTCACGATTTCAGTTCATTCACTAGGGTTGATTTCAGTTTAGTCACGATTTCAGTCCCGAGCTCCCTTTTCAAATCTTAAAACAATCTGTAATTGACCCAGTTCAAGCATTTTCTTGAGGATCAAGTTAAAAGTGGGTTTCCTTCAATGTCAGTTGCTGAGTTCTTAATATTTGAACATCTAGATATTATCGATCACACAACTGATAAGCCTTTGCAGGTGGTGATGTAGCATGCAACCAAGCAGGTCAAACAATTCCCAGTGCTTCAGACCTATCAAGACGGATCTCTCGGTTCGATGGAGTCTTGGGTCTTTGACGAGATCACTTCTGGTGCAGTCATCAAGCTCAAGAATGGGTGCATTAGACTCTACGATCGAAGAGATTTGTTGCGGTTTTGGAAATGGGATATTCATCATCTTAGCAATTTTCAAATATTAGTTGCAGAAGATATTTTTGAAGATGGTGTGAAGGCGTACACAACGATAGTTGCGGAGATTCTCAACAAAAGAATGTGGAATGGGGTGATGGGGCAGGCGGATGTCATGGTGGTTACCAAGGGTTAAGTTCGGGCTAGTTCAAACCAAGGGGAGATTGAACGGCTTAATTTAGTGGTTTGGTCAAGGCCTTACAATATAATGATAGGGGTGTGTTGGTAATATATTTTTTTTGACTAGTTTACGGTTGTAAAGAGTTTACGGCCATAAACACCTTACGGCCATAAACTCTTCTCAGTCATGAGGTGTATAAATAGTGGGCTAGT